TCTCTCTCTCTCTCTTTCTTCCTCTCAAAAATAAACAAATATTTTTAAAAAAATTTTTACTGGGGCGCCTGGGTGGCTCAGTCAATTAATCGTCTGACTACAGCTCAGGTCATGATTTCACGGATCATGAGTTCGAGCCCCCTGTCAGGCTCTGTGCTGACAGCGTGGAACCTGCTTAGGATTCTGTGTCTTCCTCTCTTTGTCTGCCCCTCCCATGCTCACACTCTCTCTCTGTCTGTCTCTGTCTCTCAAAAAATGCATAAAACATTAAAAAAAATAAATTCTTAAATTTCTACCCATCTGAATCAAAACTCTCTTATTCCATAGAAATGTAATTCGTGACAGACTACCTTGGCCACATAAACTGCCCTTATTACAGAAAACACACCTGTGATGGAAAGAAGAGGAGCCAACCATGCATCTTTCAAGATCATCCATAAGCACGGTACCTAAAAACTTACAAAGGTAAACAAAGTATGGGTAGGTAGATGAAAACAGTTTCTAAAAGGCTAAGATGAACAAGAGAAACTTTTAAAACAAGATAAACTTTCCTTAACATCTGGGAGCACAATTACAGAAATCAAGAGATTTGGGCAGACTATGTTCTAGCCCTGGGAAACATATTCTCTACATATGACAAAGAGGAATTTTCTCTAGTGTTCCCCCAAACCATCAACGGTAGTAACAACATCACTGATCCTAGGTAGAAATGAGGGATATTCCAAAGCTTCAATCCTCACCCCTCTTCTCCATACTAACTCTTGTTGAGAATACTAGCTGAATAATAGGTGGAGACTAGAAACAGGAAATAAACTTGAATTCTTTTGAATAGAAAATCATTTATTTATCTGCTCTTTTTAACATTTAAAAGAGCCTAAGATTCCAGATTTAACAACCTGAAAACAAGTCTGACAATATTATTTTTATTTGCCAATAAAACAAGTTAGATTTGGGGCCAATGAATGCTAAATCTCCAAGAATAAAAGGTGTTCTGAAGTGGTTCAGGATAGATGCTCAGTAATACTGATGAGAATTCCATTTCCTAAAGTTTACCACCAAAACAAGGTGATTTTTAAAAATAACTAATCAATTGCTGACATCACAAAGAAACTGATCACTACTATAGAATTTTTCTTTTAAATAAACCTAGCTTGGGGAAAAAACAAAACAAAACAGCATGTACTCATTTTTTTATTTGCATACAGATTTTCTAATATTTCCAGAGCACACAATCTTGAGCTTTTTCATGTTTGGATTTGAAGAACCAAGCTTTCTTATCCTCCCCCATTTCAGCTATAAAGCAAAATAAAATAAATTGAGGTCATTTAGCACAAAATAACATTTTACCAGCTGACAACTATAAAAGCTATTCACTACTTGTTATGTGAAGCTTTATAAACTGAGTCATTTTGAAAATGAATCTTCAAGTCTCAACATGCAAAGGAGGACAAAAGAGAACCAAATATATTTGTCCCCAGTGTAAGAGAACCCAGTGATTAACTGCTGTGAAGTACCACATTCTGCAGATACTAAAGCACACTGGAGGAGGATAGGTCAGTCTTGAAAGACCTTACAGATTTCCACAAGTTCTTAATACACAGAAAGTTTGGTTTAGAGAAGCAATGAAAAGAAAACAAGAAATCTTTAACCACAGCTCCCTACTGTCCTGCATTAACTGTCAAAGTTCTATGCCAAGAATGATGCTTTACCTTAATGTACCTAAGCCTGAACCACTCCATCCCACAAATTCTTACAGCCAAAGATCCCACAAAGAAAAACTCTTCCTTGATGTACCATATGTGTGAATATCCACCTACCCACTCCCCCTTAACAGGATATAAACCTCTCTTTCTTTAAGTTCTACAAAATACCCTCACCAAGGATGATTTTTTTCACGTAAACCAACACACTCTCTAATCATTTAGCATAACCCACTTGCTCTCTCTTTACTAGAATGCTTTGTCAAATACTGAATTTACGTGCAAAACTGCAGACTTTTTGATCTAATTTCTTCTATAATTTTGTAATCTTTTTGAAATACAGGGGCCATGTTTATTCAACAAATCTACATTATAGGCATACATGTGCTTATTGAGAAAGCTTTCAATCAGTCTTCAAAAAGAAATTTCAAGTATTGTCTTGTGCCATTTGGCCCATGAGCAGGTCAAGAATAAGGGAATAGTAAAAACCATTAATAGCTGAAAGAAAATAGAAAAGGGTGAACAATAGCCATTACTTTCTCAATAGCAATTGTAAGAGTAGAAAAAGGGGTGGAGGGATGGGTACCAGAGGCCAACTACAAAAATCAGCCCATTTATCTTGGGAACTTATTGGGTCTCATGTTAAAATCTGAAGAAACTAGGTGAATTTTGGAACTATGTTTCCTGTCAGTGGAAAAAGAAAACCCACAAAAATTCACAAGTATGCTCCGCATACTGAAAGTCTCTGATTATGCCTCATCTTCCTTGACCTCAATGCAAATTAACAATGTTAACTAGCCCTTTGTTCTTGAAACTCTCCTCGCAGGCAACAGGACTATAATCCTCCTACTCCTCTAAAAGTTTACCATCCCCTTTGTATCCTTCCTCCTCCTTTCCCTTAAACACAATCGGTCAAATCCCTAGATTGCTTCTTTTAATATCTGCTAACCACTTCTTTGGACTCTCTTCCCATCACTGAAATCTAAGTTCCAATTCAATCACCTTGGTTAGAAAGAATAGCCCTAAATAAAGGCCTCCCAATCATAAAATTAGCTGCTCAATATGTCAATGAAGATCTTTCTGAAATGCTCTTTCCTTGAGCCTTCTCTGTTACTTCACATCAGTTTCCTCCATGTTCCTGTGAGACTTCTCTGCATCTCTGTTTTCTACTTTCCTCTTTGCTTTCTTCCTCCCTTTCCCTTTAAGCCATCCAGCACCACCCGAGACAGTTTTCAGCTTTTTGTATTTTAGTCATCCTCTAAAGTCACACACTTCACTTTAACATGCAAGTGATCTCTAAACCTTATTTATGTCTAGTCTTAGTACAGATCTCTCATCTGCAAGCCAGATGGACATTTCCTTTGTCCACTAACATCTCCTCTCCACCACTCAACTTTCTTACAGATGATCATTCTATATTAGACCAACTTTTCAAGAGAGCTAAAAGTAAAATTATATTCTTCCTCCATTTACCTCTAACAAATCTCTTCTATTTTTTTTTCATTCAGGTGTTACTTTCTATTGTTACAGTAGAACATATTCACATATGTTCACAGTTCATTCATTCCCAAGATCATTTAGTCTACCCAATCTAGTCTATCTTCTATACAATCTATCCTGCATACTACTGTATTAGTTTGATTTTATACTTCATAAGTTGACTGACTGAAACAATTAGTAGTTCTTCTCTCACATTAGTGAAAAGTGCTCTTGCAAGTCTGTTTCTGAGTCAGTTAAAGAAAAGGGGATCTGCTTAATTCTCACCAAAAAAATATAAGACTGAAGGTAACATTTCTGAATTTAAATTCAGGGGCGCCTGGGTGGCGCAGTCGGTTAAGCGTCCGACTTCAGCCAGGTCACGATCTCGCGGTCTGTGAGTTCGAGCCCCGCGTCGGGCTCTGGGCTGATGGCTCAGAGCCTGGAGCCTGTTTCCAATACTGTGTCTCCCTCTCTCTCTGCCCCTCCCCCGTTCATGCTCTGTCTCTCTCTGTCCCAAAAATAAATAAAAAACGTTTGAAAAAAAAAAAATAAAAAAAAATAATAAATTCAGACACCAGCCGGGAAAAAGTACAAGTAGAACTAGAAGGGAAACTTAAAGTGGAGAGCCAAGATAGATGCAATGATAATTTTCCAACAGGCATTTTCCCTCGGTTACCTCTAGCCCTAGTTTTCAACAATTTTTCTATAATGAAACATGTGATGGTTATTCATACATAAAGCATCCCCACAGGTCTACTCATTTAGCAACAAAGTAAAAACAATTAGTAAAGCTCTGTAATAATTTATAATCACTAACACAAATTACTTCCATTTCAGTGACTAATTTCTATGAACTTTGTTCACATCAGTTGAATACAGGCATGGACAAAAGTGATGGTCAAATTATGTGAAAAACAATCTATTTAGCACAGATACTGACAGAAAGGACAGAGACTGGTGTGAAAACCAATTGGGTCAACCTCCTGTAAACAGACTGAACACCAGCCCTGGGCACAAGATGTCGGCAGACACAGGTTCTGACAACTCCTAGCAAGCTGGGTGTCATCAGTTCTCTCTCCTCTCCCCAGGAAAGGAGAGGCATACGTTAAGACATAATCTCTGTTTTGAATCTACTCTATTTCATTAAAAAAGGAGATCATTTATAAGCTCCATTACTTTATAGTATTACAGCATGTGTAACTATGTACCTGTGACACTGCAACATAACATCAACCCTGAGAATGTGCATGGTTCACAAAACCCGTTGCGTGACATTCATAGCCCTATGCAATATGGTCTAACCTATTCAACCAAAATCTATCTTAAGTTATTCCTTCCAGTAGAGCAAGGGAAACTATCTTACTATTCCGAAAAATTACAACCTAGCTCTCTCCATGCTTCTGTTCATGCCCTCAGAGCTCCTTTCACCTCCTCCAGTTTTTCTAATTTGTATGGAAAATTTAAGACTCTCCTCAATTCCCACCTTCCAAAAGACTTCAATGATCTACAATGAACTCAGGAATTCATAATTCCTCTGTGTCACTATACTTTCCTACATTTATTAGCCTCTTCATGTGCGTAAAGGCAACATACTGTACTTCCTTTTATGTCAAGAAATATTCAAACAATACATTGGCACACTGTAGGCAATGAAACAATTTTTTTATTGATAGCAACATCACTCTCACATGCTCATACACTTTTAGGACACACAATATAATAAAGAAGAAATTACCTGATTCAATCAAATGCAAACAAAGCACTTCTAATGGATATTGTACAGTGGGATAGATGTTTATCATTCCTTCACAGGCCTTCTTCAACCTAGCAATTTCATGAGGAAACTAGAAAATATCAAAGTAAAATAAACTAAGTAATAGTAAAATATACTTGTGAACACTTTCCTAATTAGAATATAAACATCACATCAGAGATTTTTAAAATCAACTTACTTTGGATAAACACTGAATGAAATGTCTATAAAGTACTTGGTGATCTTCACTAGGAATATTTTCTGATAAGCCCAGTGCATTCTCAAAAGCAGTTAAAAGCTGAAACAAACAAAAAACCTATCATCTGTAGCATATTGAAATGACAAATGTAGTAAACAGTTGAACATGTAAGACTCACTTATACAAGATACAACTTCAACTAATTGCAAATGTATTTTATTATCTGGCCTTGGCAATTTCATGAAGAAAAAAAAAAAAATGGCACGTCGGTTTTTGAATACAGTTTAACCCCAACTGGCCAGGAGACTGCACTGAACTAATGAGGGTAACTATATAAATCAGCATTATGAATTTAACAAAACATTCTTGTAAGTGCTTGCTATTCCCTATAAAGTAGTCAACTGGAGAGGTATAATCATGAATAGCAGTGTAACTGCTACTGCTCAGATCATTTTTAAAATATCTCTACCAAAATCACCAGCATGTCCTTTGGAACATCTTCAATGGTAGGAAATCTTCAATCTTAAAAAACAAATTTTATGAAGTTATGCTTTTATCAAAAGAAAACCAGAAATATGACTGAACTATAATAAAATCACTTTTTATCCAGTATTACTAAGTGATTTTGAAGAAAATACCAAAAGAAGCTTTCTAAATGTATTTGAGCAAGAATAGCAATACTAGAACCCAAATCAAGCATTTTAAAGGATACTATTCAATTAATTACAGAAGTTCTACCATTTTTAAAAATGAATCTCCATGACTTCACACTGAAAACTCAAAATACAGTTCACTACTTCCAATTTTCTTTGTACAGTATGGTATAAAGTCTACGTAAATAAGTAAAATTTTGGGGCGCCTGGGTGGCGCAGTCGGTTAAGCGTCCGACTTCAGCCAGGTCACGATCTCGCGGTCCGTGAGTTCGAGCCCCACGTCGGGCTCTGGGCGGATGGCTCAGAGCCTGGAGCCTGTTTCCGACTCTGTGTCTCCCTCTCTCTCTGCCCCTCCCCCGTTCATGCTCTGTCTCTCTCTGTCCCAAAAATAAATAAACGTTGAAAAAAAATAAGTAAAATTTTACTGTTCTGATTAAGTTAATGATCTTGCAAAAAAGGAAGCCTAACTTGTGGTGTTTAGCACAAGGGGTTTAAAAAAAATAGTAATGAAATTATCATCTGGAAAACAAGTGATGTCTTTTTTCATGAACACATTTAAATAAAACGAAATTATCATTAGAATTCAAGGTGAAAATAACCCCACCGCCAAAATCCTCTTTTCATATTTTAACAGTTAAGAATCAAGTCTTAACATGGCAAGTATAATTAGTTCTCTTTCATAGAGGAGAAAACAGATAATTCAAAAAAAAATTTTTTTTTTACTTATTTTGGTATATGTTTGATATTCTGGTAACCTATACTTACATGATGTCATAATATAAAGATATCATTTAAGAGAAGTTGGCAGGGTGCCTGGGTGCTCAGTCGGTTAAGCATCTGGCTTCGGCTCAGGTTGTGATCTCCCAGTGGGTGGGTTTGAGCCCCGCATCAGGCTCTGTGCTGACAGCTTGGAGCCTGGAGCCTGCTTAGGATTCTATGTCTCCCTCGCTCTCTGCCCCTCCCCCACTCACGCTCTGTCTCTGTCTCTCTCTCTCTCAAAATAAATAAACATTAAAAAAAAAGAGAGAGAGAAGTTGGCAAACCACTTAATTTTGTCACTGCTCAATTTTTTCCACAACTAAATCTATACACAGATAAACCAACACACAGACAAATGCAAATCTTATTTTTGTTATTTTTATCTCCAGCATTTAGGACACTGCCTGACAAATATAGTAGGTTCTTAATAAGTATTTTCTGAATAAAAGAATAAATTAATGAGTGAACAAATGAACATACAAAAAAAATGAACTTCCCATCCTTTACAGTCTATAACTGCTTATATATTTTTTTAATTTTTTTTTTACATTTATTTATTTTTGAGAGACATAGAGAAACATGGTGAGCAGGGAGAGGCAGAGAGAGAGGGAGACACAGAATCAGAAGCAGGCTCCAGGCTCCAAGCTGTCAGCACAGAGCCTGATGTGGGGCTCGAACCCACAAACCGTGAGATCATGACCTGAGCCGATGTCGGATGCTTAACTGACTGAGCCACCCAGGCGCCCCTATAACTGCTTATATTTAAAAAGTCCATTCGGGTGCCTGGGTGGCTCATTTGGTTGAGCATCCAACTTGGGCTCAGGTCATGATTTCACAGTCTGTGGGTTCGAGCCCCACATGGGGCTCTGAGCTGACAGCTCAAAGCCTAGAGCCTGCTTTGGATTCTGTGTCTCCCTCTCTCTCTGCCCCTTCCCCACTGTGCACGTTCTCTGTCTCTCAAAAATAAACTTTTAAAAAATTAAAATAAATAGTCCATTCAAGTTACAAGTGTACAGTGAGTGATTATTTATTATAAGAAATTAAGTTTACTTTTAAACTTAGAAGTATAAAAAAGTAGAATAAGACATTTTCCAACTACAGTTCAAAATCAATGAATTGTTTTAATCTTTTTAAAAATTCTTTTCAATTACTTCACTGTGCCCTACACTGTACACCAAAAAGGAATATTTCTAGATATAAGTACCCTAAATAAATACCATAAACAAAATACTCGAGTTGCTAAACCTCAAAATAATTCAGTACTCTTATTTCAAAAATATAAAGAAACATATCTTTAAGTAAGTACAACTTTAGAAATTACCGTAGTTTTGTGAAAGCCAAGCTCATAGTTTCTTTTTCACAGTGATGGCATAACTGATTTATTATGGATTCTTATGAACACAAGGAAGGAAATTATGATACCCTAAGTACCAATTCCACTCTGTCCGGACTTAGTATGAGACTGCAGGCCAATAATTCTGACGGTGTCAGCAAGAACTTCTATCAATTTAAAACTGAACTCTGATAACAATTTTGACATACGGCACTTTTCTATATTACACTATTATGTTTCCATTTGCCAAATTCAATTCAATGATCAATTTTCATGACACAAACTGTAGGGAATAAATGGGTTAATACCAATTGCTGGGTCTCATTATTCTGATCCTCAGTACTCTCAGCCAGCAACTGAGTCAATCTCCTCCACAGCTGATGAAGCTCTTGGTTGTCTGCACCTTCCTCCTGCCGTGTCTTTATCAATTTGTGCCATGTTCGGGCCACCTATGAAGAGGGAGATTTAAATCATTATTTTATCGGGGCGCCTGGGTGGCGCAGTCGGTTAAGCGTCCAACTTCAGCCAGGTCACGATCTCACGGTCCGTGAGTTTGAGCCCCGCGTCAGGCTCTGGGCTGATGGCTCAGAGCCTGGAGCCTGTTTCTGATTCTGTGTCTCCCTCTCTCTCTGCCCCTCCCCCGTTCATGCTCTGTCTCTCTCTGTCCCACAAATAAATAAAAACGTTGAAAAAAAATTTAAAAAAAAAAAATAAATCATTATTTTATCTTAAATATCAAAAACGCCAGTGCAAAAAATATAAAATCTACAAATAGCAATATTTTCATCTGCTAATACATAAAACAGCAAAAGCCCAGAACTCCATTTACTCTGAATTCTACAAAAAAGGTGACTAGGTAAATCCACACAGCCCTTACTTTAGAAGTACGACTGAGATACCAGAGTAGAAACTGGAATAAGACTACACGCCCCAAACTTCCTAACTTAGAGCATCCACTATGGGTGTACTACAAACACGTCACTAAATTCTACAGATGATGCCTTTGTTTATTTATTTATCCCTGCCTAGTTTCAAAAGGGTTTGGAAGTTATGACAACTAAAATTTCAAAGTTCCAAAATACTGTAATTGGTATTATTTCTCTATATTCTTTTAATATCATACTACATAGTAATTTTTTAAATTTTCTCTCAAGCTAAAATCAAAGTTTTCTTTTTTTTAATGTTTATTTATTTATTTTGAGAGAGAGACAGAGAGAGAGCGCACACTCATAAGTGGGGGAGGGGCAGAGAGACAGGGAGAGAGAGAATACCGAGCAGAGCCCGATGCATGGGGCTCAATTTCACAAACCAGTGAGATCATGACCTGAGCTGAAATCAAGAGTTGGACCTTTAACCAATGAGCCACTCAGGCACCCTGAAAGCTTTTTTTAAATAATGGTTTCATTAAAAGAAGTCTACCAGTCCAGCAAATCATTTACAAACCTCTAGGTGTTTCTTTTCTTGGTAATATAGATCCACAAGTTTCTTACAGACATCACACCACTTCTGTTTGTCAACACTTAGAATAAAAAAAAAAAAAAAAAAAAAAAAAAGGATTTTGAATCTGATTATTGAAAACAACCAAGGACTTAAGATACTAAAATTAATAAATCCCAGTAATACATTCAGGCATTATTTTAAATTAGAACGTATCTTCTTTAAATTAGAACATATCCTCTTTCATACCACAAGAAAATTTTATAAAATGAGCCTCCCATTAAAAAATAAAAGGTTTAAGAAATAATATCTTCCATGGTCTTAACTGAAAATTATATCAAAGTTCCCAGATTAATCAGTCCTCATGTTAATCGTGTTTTGATTCTGTTTCAGTCACAATCAAGGAATTCTATAACCAAAGTATGAAAGAAAAATCCTTCTCAAATCCCAGTAAATGTCTGGAGTACTTCTATATAAGTTTTTATCAATTTATTCCAATTAAAACTTTAAAGACACTGCCTTTCCCCTTACAGTGATTACCTTTCATAAAGATCCAGGAGCTTTTGGTAAACACCAGGTAAGTCTTCCTTAGCATTTATGTGATTACATTTCTCATATAAACTTGCTAACCCCTAAAATAGGAAACAATAGAGATTATTCTTCCAAAAAGTACAACATTCTCACATTGATTTTGCTAAACAAAGTGACAATCTATAAAGATTATTTGTGATTAAAAAAATATAATTTACAAATAAACAATATGTCTGGGATTTGCCTCCAAATAATTAAGGGTGAGGGAAAATAGATGAAAGTATAGATGAAAAAATACTGAAATGTGTGGATTTTTAATGAAGCTAGGTGATAGCCAGAGGGGCTCATTATACCATTGTCTTTACTTCCGAAAATACATCTGAAGTGTTTCACAACAAAAAATATTTCTGAATGATTATATAATCTTAACTCTTAAGACATTACCAGATGACCCTACTTTTATATGGCCAAATAAAAAAAATCCAAGCATTTTGTGGAGACAGTAATTTTTGCTTCAATTAAAGATCACATATCCTAAATCAATCAATACATAATAAAAGCAGGCATCTCCATAAGTGTGTCACCAGATACCCCCACTCATGTTCTTGTTCACATAACATGAGGCAAACAGGTTCATGTTCCCCTACTACCTACTAGAAATCACAGTTTCTAAGATGTGGTTGAGATAGGAAACAAAGTTATTAAATATGAAGAAGTTGGAGAAGCCAACAAAAAACATGAAGACCATTAAATAAGAAAAAAGAATTTCACTCGTATTCAAAACAGACTGCACATTTTTTATACTTTACTTTTGGAAAACATATTAATATACATGTTTCCCTCAAGCATAAAGAATATTGTTGATAAGTCTTTCATATACACACATAATTAAGTTAGAGATTTACATAATCATATTTCAATTCTAATCCTCACATTTAGAAATAATCCATTGGCTTGGATGTTAAATAATGGAAAACAGCTTCACTGGCATCTTTTTTTTTTTTTTTTTAAACTAACTTGCTGGTTTAGAAAACCAATACATTTAAATTTTGTTTCTTCTGAGGTTAAATAAAGGTTTAAATGCCCATTTTAAAGCTGTTACCTATATTTTTAACAAACGGGAAAAACGTCTTTACTATAATATAGGGCACGAAATTTGTACATACCTGCCAAGCCAGCAATTGGTCTGGCTCTAGTTCAGCAGCTTTCTTATAGGCACCCTGGGCCTGATCAGGTTGTTCTAGCTCAGCTGCAGCAACACCAATAAAAACCCAGGCATTATAATTATTTTTCTCTTGTTTTAACACTGTCTGATTAAAAAAAATTAAAAGAGCAGGTCATTAAATTTTGGAAGCTAATGGGTAAAAAGCAACTAAAGACAGTCTACTTGACTGTCAGGAAATCTGGACCTGCCATTGAGCAATCTTAAGAAAGCCACTTAACGTCTCTGGTCTTCAGTTTCCTCAAGGAGAGGAGGAGGGCAACTGGATCAGTAAATGTAACAGGTCAAAAATAGGAGTCATATTTTTTAAAAGCTGCCCAAGTAATCCTGATGCCTCCATCAAATGCCTCCCCATGCTCCCTGAAAATGCTGTGTAAAAAGAGTGAAAGTATTCATACCACCCAACCATCCTGCCTGCTTCCACTCCACACTGTTACGGGTCAATTCACAAAACTGTTTTCCCTATCATTTCACCCTAACCAATTCCCACATTTTCTTTCACTATGACAACATTGCCCTCTCTTAGACAGATGAGAGTTTTCACTGAAATTGTAGGGTAAGAAAGCAGACTGACCCCAATGTGACTATATCAAATATGTTCAAAATAAATAGTGGTGATGAATGTTTAAACACCACCTGTCAACGGGAATAAAAATTCTATGTAGAGCTACTGCTTTCAGAAATAACAGCTATTTGCTAAGGTAAAAGTTTGAAACAGAAAACCAATAGGTTCTAGTGTAAGAAAACAAAACCAGTAGCTAAAATGAAATCAGTTAAGATTTTACATATTCTAGAGAAGAAAAGAATATTGACATGAGTTGAGCCAGATTATTATTTTTATACACATCCACATAACACTTCTAGCAACCTGTCACCAATCTATATAGCACAAATTCCATTCTATCCAACAATGCTGCCTCCCAAAAACCCAACAAATGGGGTAACTACCAAAGCTAACAATACTTTAACCTCTGATATGTCCAGTTAGTTGACCCCACCCTCTTTTCTACTACTGCCCCACTTCTCAATTCTCATTCCTCCTTCCCCAGCTTAGACTCCCCTGACCCATCACTGTCATCACTCCCTTGCAAACATCCTCAACTCCTTCTCCTCTCTTCTCCATCATCTTTCTCAACATTCATACTTGACCCACAACATGCCCATTTCTAAGCCTAAGAAGTTGAACGTGAAGGGAGAAGCTACACAACTGACTTCACTGATGTCCCTTCAATAACATGAAACTTCAAATGGACATTCAGCAGGGCCTGGCAATCCTTTCCAAACCTTACTAGTAAGTTCGTTTTCCCAATAAATAACAACTACTTCGTACCTTCCTTCGTCTCAAACCTCCTATGCAATTGCTCTTCCACTTTCAGCTTATACCTCACTAAGAAAATAGAAGACATCAGAGGGGAACATGCCCCTCTTCCTACCCCCAAATCTATAAATCTGACAATCTAAAAATCTGGATTTACACCTATCTTTCCTCCTGCTAAGATGGAAGAAGTATCAAGACTCTCCTCTCAAACTTGGGATCCCATCCTCTCTTCCCTTCCCAAGGACTTCACTTCCACCATTACTCTCTCCTTCCTGCACATACAATTCCTCCCTCTGGACAGGCACATTCCCATCAGCAGCATACAAAGGGGTTTAGAATCGTGAGTCTCCCATTCACAAACCAAATAGAATTACAATGTCAACATACCATTAAAGAAGAAGAACTTTATGATACAGTAGTGCTCCATAGTACAGCCCATCAAAAGATACCACAGAGGTATTCAGGTTTTAAGAACATGACTTTGATAAGTTACCAGTACAGAGAGAGACAAAATTAAGAATGGTGAAGTAGTTTGTCCTAGCACAACCATTCTAATGGTGCTACTAAACAACCCAGGCATTTTGTTATATTTAGACAATAAATGATACACTTATTACATCCATAATACTTGTGAATGGGAAACACACTTTCACCGTGGAAGGAAAAACAAAACAAAACAAAACAAAACATTGGTTACCTTACAATGTTTCAAAGCTTCTTTGTATTCTTTGTTTCTGATTGCATCTCTAGCACTTTTTAGAGCAGTCTTTACTTCCTTGCTGGACATTCTGTCAAAATAAAAATCCTGAGTGAACCTATAATAATACCTGCCTAATTATAATAGTTCCAACAAACTTAATTATCTGAAAAAGGCATATGCAATTCCTTCTCCCTGGAAGATTCTTTCCACCTTAAGGTACATATAGCATATTCCCCTACCTCTTCAGATTTTTATTCAAATGTCATTGCTTGGTGAAACCTTGGTTAGCCAAGCTAATTAAAATTTCAACACTTCCTCACTCCCAACACCCAACCCCAATATTGCCTTAACCGCATCCCTAACATTTAGCATCTTATACACTATATATTTTACTTATTTTATTTACTATCTGTTCCCCCAAACCCAGGAGAATATAAGTTCCATGGAGGCAGGGATTTTTGTCTGTAGTTGTGTTGTGTACTACTTTGTATTATTGCCAGCACCTATTATCTGACAAGTTGGACACATTAATAAATATTTGTTAAAATTGAGTTGTACTTGAGTTATACTCATTCTTCATATAGTAGGATAAAACACAGATGATGTAATGTACCACGACCCAAAATACACATCAACCTCAATCCAATTCTACATTAAGCAAGATTTAGTAAAATAAGCCCAAATATTGTTTTAACACTGGTTTCCATAAATTATAAATTAACTTTCTTCATGGTAAGTGTCATGCAGAATTATAGTAGTATAAATTCTGTGAGAGAAATAAATGCGATGTTTACACTTAAATGAAGGCAATGAAAATGCTAGAGGATTATGCACTAATTTGAACCATAAAAAGATATTTCAAATGGTAGGTAAAATATTTCTTCATTTAAATTGAAGGTATGTTAATTTAATTTTAAATTATTTTGACATTTATTAATTTTTGAGAGACAGAGACAGAGTGTGAGCAGGGGAGGGGCAGAATCCAAAGCAGGCTCCAGGCTCTGAGCTGTCAGCACAGAGTCTGATGCAGGGCTCGAACTCACGAACTGTGAGATAATGACCTGAGCCCAAGTCGGCCACTTAATCAACTGAGCCACTCGGGTACCTCATAAGCTAGTTAATTTAATTTAAAAAAATTGTTTTAATGTTTGTTTTTGAAAGAGAGAGAGAGACAGAGCACAAACAGGGGAGGGGAAGAGAGAGACAGGGAGACACAGAATCTGAAGCAGGCTCCAGGCTCTGAGCTGTCAGCACAGAGCCTGACGCAGGGCTGGAACTCACAAACTGTGAGATCATGACCTGAGCTGAAGCCGGACGCTTAACTGAGCCACCCTGGTGCCCCTAGTTAATTTAATTTTAAACGAACTAACGTACCTTAAGATTTCACAACTTACTCTGATATCGGGTAAACAAGTCAAATTCAATCACAACTAAATGTTGAAAAAAAGAAACACTTGTATTTTTTGATAACTCCACTGAACTCCAATCTCATCAGGAAACAAACCTGGGTAAATATGAAGTCATTATAGACTGCAGATGTTCACAGTAGCAAGATGAACCAAGAAGATGGCTCACTGACATGGTACAGTGACACCCTGTATACCCAAAGAGGCTAAAGCAGAAGTGCAGATCAAAGGAGTTTAAGAAAGTAAGGAATAAAAAGTAAAAGAACAACAACAACAACAAAAAAAACCCAATCCTTTTGACTGAAAAAATGTTAGGTGGAAAGTAATACAAAAATTAACATATCATAAATCAATTTATCTGCAACTACAATCAGGCTCCTTAAATACACAGAAAAATGACTTTTTGCCTAATTATGTTAATTATACATTAAAGCAGCATATTTCATATGCTCTTATTTTAGAAACTGCTCTCTTACCTGAGTTTATCTTGGTATACATTTATAGATGCAAACTTCAGTATTTCTTTTTTCTATAGCCTACAGACTTTGACCGGAACAGGCAATAAATTTCAACGCTGATTTCAAATTTTCTCACATCAAAGTGATCTTGGCTAGGTAACTCTGCAGATTAAAACAGAAGATAAATCAATGATGATAACAACTAATCTGGACCAACAGCAAGGGATTACAAGAGACATCCAAGGAGGAAAAAAAAAATTAAAAAGGAACAAAAACAGTTTTAAGTCTAAACAAAAGCAAACGGAAGAATTCAACTTTACAAGGAAAAGGATCACCATCTTTTCTATCATCCAACACTTGAGTGGAAGCACGTTCAAACAAGGTAAAACTGGGGTGCCTGGGTGGCTCAGTTGGTTAAGTGGCCAACTTGGGCTCAGGTCATTATCTCACAGTTTGTGGGTTGAGCCCCTTGTTGGGCTCTGTGCTGATAGCTCAGAGCCTGGAGCCTGCTTCGGATTCTGTGTCTCCCGCTCTCTCTGCCCCTCTCCCGCTTGCTTTCTCTGTCTCTCTATCTCTGTCTCTCACAATAATAAATTTAAAAAGACAATAAAAACAAGGTAAAACCAGCCATCACTTATCCTATATGCAACTCCCAAACTATGCACTGCAAATGACACACACACACACACACACACACACACACACACACACACACAGAAAAAAGGGCTCTTGTTCTAAAGAATATAATCTAAATCAAAAGAAAGACCTAAAACATATGAGTCATTAGAGAATCAAACACTAACTATGGGTAATGAGTACAACTGCAATAGAAGTTCAAAGAAGGAAAAGTGTGATGTGAAGTAATTAAGGGGTACTAGGAAAACAGAATTTAAGAATGTTGGGAGGAAAGAGATTGCTCCAGTCAGAAGCAACTGCATTAGCCAAGGCAGAGAAATAGGAATGAACACGTGTAGGAAACAATGAGAAAACTGAGCAGTGTGGAACAAAAGGGACTTGCTGAGGACAAGAAGAAAACGAGGCTTGGTGGATAATGTAGAGCACGAGACTACAGAAGACCTTAAACGTCAGACAGACAGACAAGTTTAGATTTAAATACAGCAGCCAACACAGAGCTGTTAAATGCCTCTACATGAGTTATTTTTAAAGACCACAATAGATAAACTCCATTGTTCCCTTGGTAACCAATTAATGTTTAATACCCTTCCATATCCCTATATGTCCCTACATGTAATTACAATTACTCTTGCTGCAGTGGAATTGCTATTCTTCTCTTCCTAATCCTTCACGTGATTTGGAATTTAGCATAATATGCTAGCACTGAGGCCCTCTCTCTTCACAAAACATTTATACAGGTAGAGATATACAGATATGGACAAGGTAGATATATAGACATAGATCAGTTTCAGGAGATTAACCTATTTTTGAAAAGACAAAATAATCTGTCCCTTTCTAGGCCTAAAACCTTCTTCCTATTTTGGGAGCTGGGGTGGAGAAGAGAGAGGCTCATCCATTCATTTTCTAAAAAAAGTTTTCCTAAGTACTAACCTTCCACAAGGTATCAACAAACAAAGGTAAAAATCTACTTAAAAAATGATTCCATGTAACCACATACACCTGTATTTGGGACATTTCCCTCTGTTTCACGCACATCCAAGATGTCAAAGTAAAATCTAGCTCTCTTAAGTGTCTTTAATATTCTTCCACAAAGTGTGTTTAATGGTCATCCACAGCCGCACCCACTTTCCCCTGACAATCTCTCCTATTTTTTTCTTCTCAATCTCATGTCATTCTTTAAAAAAAAAAAAAAAAAAGCATTCGTTTTTGCACACTTTCACTCAGTTAAAGGGTTTACAGTACCAAACCAAAAGGGTTTTTATTCAACATATCAAGCATAGAAAGTAGCAACAGCTGCACTTAAAAAAGTTAGAAAGTATCAAACATGCCAAAATGTTAAACCTCAAAACTAACAAATGTAGGTCGATGAATTGCTACACACCCCAGCTAAAGCTATGGAACCTTCAACTACATTCTGTTGTGCACATACAAAGACTCCATACAGCAAAAGTAACAAAAACAAAACAATAAATAATAATAACAATGACAATGGAAACAAATTACACAAAAGCAAAACATGATACTTTTAAATCTAGTAACAAAAGTCCAAAGGTATTTTGTGATGACCTATAGTCTGGCATAACAGCCTAGAGGTATATCATCCCACCCTTCCTCTGAAAGGAATTGGTAAAAACAATCATTAAGTAAAAATAGACTCCAATTACCTGTTACATATTCAGCATTCTGGACACTTACCTTTTACCTATTATCTTCTACCTTCTTTTTGACTTGAATTTCAGATTGTTCCTTGACCATTATCCACCTAAATAAAGTAAAACATCAAGTAGTTAAGCAAATAAAAAGGATGATAACCCAAAACTCTGTGAATTTTTTAACATACCAAATTCAGGTTTAATTTTCATAATTCATAATTTAAAACACAAGAAATAATTAGGTATAATTTTTCATCTTTTCTTCTTTCCCCAATTTTCTGAACTGGTCTGTGTTCCCACAGACTCTGGTGATAAAAGGACATCCATAAGCAATCAGAAAAATGCTCAAAAAACATTCCAGAAACTCAAAATACATTAACCACAGTATAAAAAATTGAGCCAAAACAAGAGTATCAACTATTTCTATGCTACTTTATTTTGAATCAAGGACAATTAATACCACTTATTTACTCCCCATGTGGAGCCCAACTACACTAAAGTGACCCTGTTTTATGCCATGTAAAGAATTATAAATATGTAGGGATGCCTGGGTGACTCAGTTGAGCATTTGACCTCAGCTCAGGTCATGATCTCGATGTTCATGGGTTCGAGCCCAATGTTGGGCTCTGTGCTGACAGCTCAGAGCCTGGAGCCTGCTTTGGATTCCGTGTCTCCCTCAATCTGCCCCTCCCCTACTCGTGCTCTCTCTCTCTTTCTCAAAAATAAATAAACATTAAAAAAAATTTAAATTAAAAATCAAATTATAGGGGCGCCTGGGTGGCGCAGTCGGTTAAGCGGCCGACTTCAGCCAGGTCACGATCTCGCGGTCCGTGAGTTCGAGCCCCGCGTCAGGCTCTGGGCTGATGGCTCGGAGCCTGGAGCCTGTTTCCGATTCTGTGTCTCCCTCTCTCGCTGCCCCTCCCCAGTTCATGCTCTGTCTCTCTCTGTCCCAAAAATAAATAAATAAATGTTGAAAAAAAAAATTTTTAAAAAATCAAATTATAGGGGCCCCTGGGTGGCTCAGTTGGTTAGGCGTACGACTTCGGCTCAGGTCATGATCTCACAGTTTGTGGGTTCAAGCCCCGCATCAGGCTCTGTGATGACCGCTTGCCACAGCCTGGAGCCTGCTTCAGATTCTGTGTCTCTTTCTCTCTCTGCCCCTCCCCCACTCACACTTTGTCTCACTCTGTTTCTTAAAAAAAAAAAATAAATAAATGTAAAAAAAATTTTTAATAAATCAAAATAAAAATCAAATTATAAATACGTAAAACGTTGCCCACATCATGTAACTAGATTAATTTATAATCTAATGAAACTAGAGAGCACTTTTTAAAATATCAAAAATCCCATCTAAATAAACATCTGAAATATTCACACAAATTCAACATGATATAATTCTAAGTATCTTTTGATGGGATCTCTGGAATAAATTCTATCAAAATTAACTCAGAATGTTTCATGGACAGAATGGAAGTGGCTTCAAAGAACTGGAAAAAAAAAAAAAAAGCCATGCTACTTTAAACAAGGAAATAAAATTTAAGTGAAGCAGGTGGGGGTGAACAAAAAAGAGAAAGTGAGTTTACTGGCAGTATACTTAAATAGAGTGGTTAGTTCCAGAGAAAACAGTCTTACTATTAAGAAAAAAAGTACTGGGGCCTTCTCTTTCCTCCGTCTTTCCATGCCACCACAATGGTGCTCATGAATGTCCTGGCAGATGCTCAAGAGCATTAACAATGACAAAAGAGAGGCAAACGCCAGGTTCTTACTAGGCCATGTTCCAAAGTCATCATCTGGTTTCTAACTCTGATGATGAAGCATGATTACATTGGCAAATTTGAAATCACTGATGATCACTGAGCTGGGAAAACTGTTGTGAACCTCACCAGCAGGTTAAACAAATGTGGAGTGATCAGTTCCAGATTTGATGTACAACTCAAAGATCTAGAAAAATGGCAGAATAATCTGCTCCCATCCTGCCAATTTGATTTCACTGTACTGACAACCTCAGCTGGCATCAGGGACCAGGAAGAAGCAAGAGGAAAACACACAGGAGGGTAAAATTCTGAGATTCTTTTTCTAGGCATGTAATACAAGCATGCAAATAAAATGCCTCAATGTAAAACAAAAACAAAAGTATTGTGATCTAAATAATGTTTAAGAAAGTAAAATAAAAGTTAAAACAAGAGGGCAAGGAGGGAAGGTAAAATAAAAGTAAAAACCTGATTCTATCCATTATACTAACTTCTCTGAGCTCCAAACCAACCTGACTGTAATTTATTACTCAGTCACTTCAACACTGTTCTTACAAAATACCCTAGATTTTGTCAGCACCTTCATGATACCATACCCACTCACAAAACCACAACTCATCTGGACTCCAGTACAACCCGACCTTGGACACCTTACTTAACTACTCCAAGCCTATTTCCTTATTGGTAAAGTGAGGATTATATCACTTACTTCATATGTATGTAAATGCAGTGCCTGAATATGTTACACAGTTGACCCTCAAATAACACTGGTTTGAGGTCCACTTAGAAATGGATTTTTTCTCTTTCTTATGATTTCTTAATAACCTTTTCTCTAGCTTACTTTATTGTAAGAATACAGTATACAATATATATAACATACAAAATTATGTGTTAACTTTGTATCATCGATAAGTATAATATCGATGTATTATCTAGTCAACAGTAGGCTACTAGTAATTATGTTTTTGAGGAGTAAAAGTTACACATGGATTTTTGACTGCTTGGTAGGGATCAGCACTCCTAATTCCTACATAGTTCAAGGGTCAACTGCATATTAGTTCTATTCTCCTTATCTACTTACTGTCCTTATCAATCAACTTCACTACTTTTTTTTCTATTCCTAACCCACATGGTTACTACAAACTTTCTCGACACATTTAAAAACCATAATGTGTATCAAGAAGTAACTTTCTCACCAATGTTCCTCAAAAGATGCTATCACCAAACACAAGTATCTTCTTTGAAGCACATGAATACTAGTCCAGAGTAAAGCCTGCAAAAGAGATCACTCCATCCTCTGAACCACTGAAACATTTATTAGTTGAGCTATTCAATTCAAACTTAGCCAATATTTTTTTACTATGCTATACTGATGTCTCCTGACTCCCAGATCAATAAATCCCCAAACAAAAGTATTATATCTTCGGAGTTCCTTACATCCCAACAACTATTGAGTAATATGTACTCAATAAATGGTGGATTATCCAGCTCCGAAGGCCTACTCTAAACATTTAGTTTTCCCCCTTCCAAAAGGCAGTAGTTCTCAATTTCCTAAAATGAGAAAGGAAGCAACTCTTTTCAGTATCAGCTCACATTACTTTTTTCACTATCCCCCAATACTTTACACTTATACATCTTTGCTTCTCTCATTCAGCCTGTTCATACTTGCTTCTATCTACTCAAATGGTACATGTAATCAAAGCCAAATTCAAGTGTCAAGCATAAAAGCTTCTCAGATGAATCTCACTAGTTTGAACTTCTAACACTTTTATTTTTATTTTTTTAAGTTTATTTACTTATTTTGAAAGAGAGAGAGAGAGAGAGAGAGAGAGAGAAAATGAGCATGAGTAGGGGAGGGGCAGAGAGAGAGGGAGAGAGAGCATCACAAGCAGACTCAGCACTGTCAGCACAGAGCCCGACCTGGGGTTAGATGTCACAAATCATAAGGTAACAACCTGAGCCAAAATCAAGAATCAGACACTTAACCAACTGAGCCAACCAGGCACCCCTGAACTTCTAACACTTTTAATCTATACTAACATTTCCAAAAAGTATTCCAAGGAATATTCCTATGCTTAAAGGTATTAATACACCATCTACTAATTTTGTTAACACTCACATTATATATCTCACTCTTTCACAGTCATTCTAAATGTATATTAGCACTCTAAGGGTTCTGAGAAGTCCTAAAGGCCCAAAGATATTTTAACCTAGCATTTCTAAAACTTATGTTATGATGGAACATTTACTTTAACGAACAGCAATTAATTTTGAAGCAGATGAGCATCCTCCAAAGCATAATTTGGGATAGTCTGGGTTTTATTTTTGTATGCTTGGCAATTAACTATATTTTTTATACCTTTTATACTGTCATTAAATTTAAAGGTAATGTGGTTGTTTCCCACAACTAAACTGGAAGTTCCTTAGAAGCAAATACTATTTCTATTACTCTCTTTTATTTCCTACAGTGTCTAATACATTGTAGATAATCAACAAATATTCACGGAATCACAAATGGTGAAGACAATCCTGATTTTATTCCATGTACTCACTAACTTCACACTTAGCCTCCTTTTCCTAAGGCAGAATATAGTGCTGTGGGTACAATGGATATTAAAAGAACTATAAAGAATCATAATCTATACCAAGACCTTTCAATTGAAGATCTTTCAGAACTGCGGTTAAGTATTTCACAAAAGTAAGAAATCTCTTAACATACAAATCTTTAACTGATGATTTAAACGTACATGTAATGGAGTGCCTACCCTCACTGCGACACATATGTAGGCATGTGCACACATAAAGACGTGCACAAACACCCCACAAAAGTACCTTTCCGGATAGTTACTGATTTGTAAAAATGCTTTATGTCCACAAAAGAGTGATCAAAATGACGAAGAAACGTTACAGTTATATAAAGAGCTGAAGGAAATGGGGAAGACCTTGGGAAAAAAAAAAATGGTGAAGAAAGAAACAAGAAGTATTGTTGAAAAGGCGATTACCCAGGTAAAAATGAAGAGAAATGGACCAACGAATGATTAAAAGTAGAGGGAGACTGACTTCAGCTCAAAATAAGAACTTTTAATAATTAAACATGACAAATGTGGAACAGGCTGCTCAAAGGAAGTGCATTCCCATCACTACAGATAAAAAAGCACAGACTGGACAATTCACTTGGCAGGAATGTTGCAAGAAAAAGTGAATGTCAGATGGGAAGTAGGACTAGAAGCCTCTTAAGATTTTTCCAGCACTGTATCTCTGGGGCCCTAAAATATCCATCTTGCTCCAACTCACTGCAGCACCTGCTCCCACGGGCACTGCCAAAGGGAGAGAGAGGAAAAAAGAGATGTGTTCCTGTCATTCTAACCAGGACTTCAGAATATATGTCCTGTGAAAACAAGGCCATAGAGAGTAAACACTGTTCACAGAAATAGTACCACACCACAGATAAATATAGCTTTTACAAACCTAAAGGTCAGTCGACAATGTTTCTATGATAAGATGCATTCCACATTCAGAATTAACTTGAAACAAATTTTTGAAACATATCCTGATCCTGAGGTAGCCTATGTACATTACCTCCCGTACCATACAACTACAATTTCATGGATGTTAGTTTTGTTTCCCTACAGTGTAAGTTCCTTGTGGAAGGGAACTATTGTTTATGTTTGTATTCTCACACAGGGCTTTAGAATGCTTCTTAAGAATTTGTCTATACAAATAGAGTTTAGGCTCAACAGAAAGTCATGAAATTTTATAACTAACTAGGAACAGAGAACTGCAGTGAGTTCGGGCACAGACTACTGAAGTTCAAATCCTGCTCAGACTGGCTCCCTGTGTAACCTGGGGTAAATCATTTAACCTGTCCAAGCCTCAGTTCTCCTATCTGCAAAATGATGAAAGTGAGGATCACAGAGAATATTGAGTTGATTTTATGTTAAGTACCGCAATTTCTCCTTTTCCTATCAAAATATTAACACGACTAACGTGACGAACAAATTATATAACTGAAACTATGATAATGAAATAAAAATTTGGTTCTGGGGCAGAAATTGGCTTCTTCCAGAACTCTCCAAAGTAGTTCAACAGTCAAGAGAGACCAGTGATTTGTCTGCAGCAGAACAATGGTATTCTGAACCTGTGCCGATTAATCCAACTAGTCACACAGCTCAACATTTCTTCCTGCGAGAACCTGTCCCCCTTCTCTCCTTTGCACTCTGAAGGCAAGATGCACCTAAGCTTTTCCCCGTCTAGAACATGATTACTAGGCCCCGCGCCCCGCTCCCCACTCCACGGAGCACGATCAATCCTACTGCACTGACAATAAGATGTGGCAGGCTAGCAATTTCCTCAAGGGAATACATTCGAGAGCCCCACGAATCCACAACGTACCTGAGGCTGTAGAGTCAGAAGCCCCACAAAGAACCGCCCCATCTAACTTAAGTGACAGACGCGCTGCCACCTCATCATCGCCTAGTTCACGGTGTCGGCTGATACTCAGCCATGCCTGCGCGACACAAAATGAGCAGCCCCGGCCCCTGACACTATCTCTCGCCAGTTATCATTTCAACCGCGTACTGCCTCCAACTTTTGCAAAAGCTACAGCGAGCGACCCAAACCCACCTGGGACAGATGCTTCTCCTCCAAACGCCAAGGCAGCAATCCGGGCGCATGCGCATTCCGCAGGCATCGTTCACGTGACTGAAAGTAGCTGAGTTTTAGCACGCTCGGTATTTGCTTAAAAGGCCTTAATGTGAGTTAAGGAATGCCCCCTGTGCGCATGTGCCAATGCGCAGCCCGCTGGGAATTGTAGTTCTGCCAGTAAAACGCTAGAAGGAAACCAAACTGTGAACTGTGTGATCCCCGCCCACCTCTGAGCCGCTCTCCGCAATGCTGGTGCTGTGGGTGTCGGTGGTCGCAGCCACAGCGCTGGCAGCCCCAGACCCCGGGGCAGGTGGGCAGAGGCGAGGAGCTGCTGGGGTTTGGCCCGTTGCACCCAACGTGGTGCTAGTCGCGAGCGACTCCTTCGTAAGTACGGAGAGGCAAGGGAGGGGGCGTCCCGCTCCAGACTAGCGACCGTCCTACAGCTTTTCCTGTGATGCAAGCTTTGAGGAGCAGAATCTGAGACTTCCAAACGTATTTTCCCCGAGGCAGAGTAAGAATTCCATTTTATTTTGAGGTCCTACGTATGCACGTACACCACATACATTTAAAACAATACTCCAGTAAATAAAATGTACTCTGATAGTATCTTTGCAAAAAAAAAAAAAAAAACTAATGCTGGCCTCGACCCACTAAATTATTTTACGACTACTAATATACTTTCTGTCCATACTCTCGTTTGTTTCGATAGTGGGGGAAAGTAACATTCTGCATCTCCATAAAAAGGTGTTAGCTTCCTAGCGGTCGTTTCCCACTTCATCTCAAGTTTGCAGGAATGTCAATACTTTTATCACCCAGGTTATCTGATAATCCTGTTAGTGCTGATTTAAATGCAATAGTTGTCATTTGATCCACTCCCCCTTTTAACAAAGAAATTGTGTGCGTGTGTTATTGCTGTTGTTTAATCCCAGACTTCAACAGTTTTTGGTACTTCCCCAAGCCATCATCCGAAAGAATACTACTATCAACATTCCCTGAAAGTTTTAGTATAATCCATGATTTAAAAACTACTGCTTGGACAAATATTAGGTTAAAAGTGATAAATCTAGTTTATTATCACTGGGTGTTACTGTGGTCATGTAGATTGTTGGTGTTAAGCATGTCTGCACCAAAGAGTGCTTTTAATCACTGTATTCTATTGGTTTTCTCATTGATTAACCTGTGAAGATTAAAGTCACATAATCTGGATATGCCCGTAGGACTTGCTGAGAAAATTATTAAAAGTAATCTTTATGATTATCTAAATTTAGGGAACAGGCAGTATTGGAGATTAACATGAAAGAGGTTTCTTAGAGAGTGCTCCCGAGATCAAGGGAAAGGAAGAAAGAAGGATTGTATAGAGAAGTTTGAGTTCTGTTACTGTCTCAACAGAAGCCTCAGATGACTTTATGGGTAACTCTCAAACTAGTAAAATGTTTCAGAACTGTTTCCATTTGGGGTGAGGGGATCCAGGGCCTTATACCCTCATGTTGGATGGCCATTAGTTGTGCGCTGCTCCCGGAAAGGGACATGATTTTGGTCCAGGCAACTGTCTTTAGCAGCAGCAATCTTTCTTTCCTAAAGGGAATTTGAGTGGTGTATCACAGAATTCTAGAAACTTCCAAAGATGACAAATATTTTGTTCCACTATAGTATGAATACATAGGTTTTTATATATTTGTGTTTAAATCCTTTGCATTCATTATACTTACTAATGTTCAAACTGTCCTATATTTGGTTTGTGAAAGACACTTCAGGTTGTTCCTGAGTCCTTTTGACCCATTCATAATAATCTTTAGCAGCTTCCTTTGATAGACTTCCACATCCTTCTTGTGTATTTCCTGTACTATCTTGTGTGTAGAGACTAGAATCCAGGTGTTCCCATTTTTTCATTGCTTTCAGACCTTTCCAGTGGACAGATCTAGAAAGTATATGTATTTATTTATTTTTAATTAAAAATTTTTAACGTTTATTTATTATTGAGAGACAGAGAGACAGACCATGAGCAGGGGAGGGGCAGAGAGAGGAGGAGACACAAAATCCGAAGCAGGCTTCAGGCTCTGAGCTGTCAGCACAGAGTCCGACGCGGGGCTCGAACTCACAAACCATGAGATCATGACCTGAGCTGAAGTCGTACGCTCAACCGACTGAGCCTCCCAGGTGCCCCGAAAGTATATGTATTTAATTTGATTTTTGCACTTATATCTGTTTTATACTATTTTGGTTTCTAACTACATTAATGTAATTGTTTACTTTATTAAATATATGTATATGTTATATATACTTACACATATTTTATACACATTTGGGTAAAAATATATAATATATAAGCATATACATAGTATCTAGGGCTCCAATCACCCTTACTCTAGATCACTAGTAGGGGAAACGTTTAATGCCAGGAGAGACAATCCAAAAGACCAGACAAGTTTCTGCAAAGCAAGCAGAAGGAAGGAAATAATAGCAGAAATTAATGAGTTAAAGAGTATTATAACAATAGAGAAAAACAATGAAACCAAAAGTTGATTTACTGAAAATATCAACAAAATTGACAAACCTTTGGCTAAACTGACCTAGAAAAAAAGAGACAAGACCTGACTTACTAAAATCAGGAAGAAAAAGAGGGAATATTACCTTACAGAAATAAAGAATTATCAGGGAATACTGTGAACAACTGTACGTTAACAAATTAGATAATTTAGATGAAATGAACAAATTTCCAGAAAGGCACAAACTACTGAAAGTAACTCAAAAATAAAAACAATCTGACAGACCTATAACAAGTAAAGAGATTGAGTTGGTGATTTTAAGACACCCACAAAGAAAAGCTCAGACCCAAATGGCTTCACTGGTTAATTCAACCAAACATTTTAAGAAGAATTAATACTGGGGCACCTGGATGGCTCAGTCGGTTGGGTGTCTGACTTTGGCTCAGGTCAGTTTGTGAGTTCAAGCCCCACGTTGGGCTCTGTGCTGACAGCTCAGAGCCTGGAGCCTGCTTCGGATTCTGTGTCTCCCTGTCTCTCTCTGCCCCTTCCCCACTCATGCTCTGTCTCTCAAAAATAAATAAAAATGTTAAAAATATTTTTAAAAATAAAAAATAAAGAAGAATTAATACTAATTCTTTTTAAACTCTTCCAAAAAATAGAAGAATGCTTCCAAATTATTTCTATGAGATCAGTGTGTTGCTGATTTCAAAGCCAGACAAATACATCACAAGAAAACTACAGACTAATATATCTTCTTAATATAGAAGCTCCACAACAAAAATACTAGCAAGTCAGGGGTGCCTGGGTGGCTCAGTCAATTAAGTGTCCGACTCTTTATTTCAGCTCAGGTCATGGTCTCACAGTTGTGAGATCAAGCCCCACATAGGGCTCCACGCTGGGCGTGGACCCTGCTTAGGATTCTTTCTCTCCCTCTACTGCTCGCTCTTTCTTGCTGTCTAAAAAAATAAATAAAAATAAAATACTACAATTTGTTTAAAAAACACTAGCTAGTCAAATTTAGCAATATACATAAAGCATTATATACCATAACCAAATGGGATTTACCCCCAGAATGTAAGGTTGGTTTAATATCTGAAAATCAGTTGTTTTATAATACACCATGTTAATTGAATAAAGGGCAAAAGCCGCTGATCATGTCAGTAAATACAGAAAGAACACTTGACAAAATTCAACAACGCTTCATGATGAAAGCACTCAACCAACTAGAAATAGAATATTCTTGACCTGTAAAGAGCATCTGCAAAGACACCATAGCTCTAATCACCTTAAACACATTCCATATTAGAAACTTCCCCAAATGGGTCAGTTATCCTTTCCCCCTCTTGCCCATCCCCACCACTCTACACTTTCAATACAGATGAAGTCCTTGTGCCAGTCACAGAAATGCATAAAGAAATCACTAACACGGATTTTAATATGATGCATGAATTACTGGTAAACTGCAGTAGTCATCTGCAGTGGTAGTTACACCAGTTTAAACGGTGCCTACAGAACTTGGAGTCCTCAATCTTTGAATTATATAGCATCACAGTGCTTCTGCCATGTGATCTCCTGCTCCAGTCCTCCCACCAGATTAGTCTGGATTTGTCTAGATTCCAAGAAGTGACCACAAATGGTTGTTATCCCCTATGTCCAAAAGATTATAAGAATAAAACATGTAGGCATTTCGGATTTCTGAAGATAAGTTTCTAAGAATTTAAATTTGTGGATTTAAAGAAATTCTTATGAGGGAAGAATATACACTTTTATCTTGGGCCTCCTCATTCATCGTTCAGGAAATCAGCAGTTATTTACTTAGAATTCAGTGATACTCCTGTTGGAAGTGGTTCTTTATTTCAAGATACAAGTATGCTCTAATTTTTTACATCTAAAAAAAAAAAAAATGAACTTTAATCCCCCATTCTCCTATAGCCAATAGTCCATTTCCTGACATCCATCCTATTTTTCTGTTCACCTTTGCAAAATCACTTCTTAGAAGAGTTTTATTTACCTGCTGTCTCACCTTCCATTCTCTTCCCCATTCTAGTTTAGCTGGCTGTTCCTACCACTTAAAGTGCCCTTCAGATCACCACCTGTCTCCATACAACCAATACCACTGTGCACTTTCTGGCCTTATTTTAGGTAGCCTCTCAACACGGTTGACATTACCTCTTTCTTGACACACTGTTTTCTCTTGGTTTTCATGGTCTTATATCATCTCCCTCCCTCTTTGGCCATTCTTTGTTTCCCACCTCCTCTTATTTGGGAATCCCCAGGGTTCCTTGCTTTCCTCCTTTTCACTTTTTTCCTAAAAGCTTTCATTCAGTAACATCGTTTTCAATACCATGAATATGCTTAAGATTCCCAAGTTTATTTCACCAGAGTAGACTTTCCAAGCTCCAGATTCCTCTCTGTAACCAACAGCCTACTTTATATACCCATTTGGAAATCTCAGCCATATCAAGGGTTTATGTATATCCCATATTTGGATGAACTCATTTTTAAAAGTGTATTTTTACTGAAATTCATAGTGAA